CTTGTCACAGAATCCCAGATTTATGGATGGAAACAACCTATTAGGTCATCCGAGACGTCCCTCTGCTAATGCAGATTTATTCCCTCCTGTATATTTTCCAGCGCTTGGTCCAGTCTATTGTTCAAATGACTCAAGCGTCCGCTGCTTCCCTTGAGGGACCATTTCGGAGCCTAACAGACCTTGCTGTCAGGATTTCGTTTCCCGTCATATTCCTCCTAAAGGTTCTTCTGCTTAATTTAGTTACTTACTCTTTCTGCAGAACAGTGATGAGGAACAGGACTGTAGAAATAGGACATTTATTTCTTACTTATTCAGCTAATTCCTGTTATCCCATTTTTGATGGCCCTGCCCAGTCCTGTTCTCCCTGGTGTTTATCGCCTCACACTCCTCTCTCAGGAGTGCGGCCCGGCTTCGACTGGGATGGGCTGGTAGGTGCCTATGGACTTTGGAGGGGGCAGAATGGAGGCATTAGCTGCACAGATACATTTTTTCCACCTCCTTTTCATTCTGAACAAATCCTTTAAGCTTTGGCATGAATGCGGTGCGTCTGCAATGATATTTGAGAGTGAGACTGTTAAATTTGTGTGGAAACTGGGAAATAACAACCGTTGGTAAGGAATTTTGATGCTCTATTGAAATTTTCTTTTACATTTACCCCCGTTTCATTAGTTATAACTAAGTGATGGGAAAGAGAGAAAAGAATGCAAAGTTCCGGTTGGAAGACAAGCCACCAGGAGGTCAGGAAATTAAAAAGGAGTGTAATAATAATGGGGTTTCCCAAACAACATGAACTTGGCATTATTCCACAGCCCGAGTACTTCATGTTATAACAAGAACTACTATCTGATCCTTGTTTGTGTAGAACTAGATCCCTTTGCAACCAAGGCATTCTCTTTAAAGGGAATAGGAATGTCACTTGTCCCCTCGAGGAGATTTTACATTGTCAAAGTGGTGGAAAAGGCCCCCACGTAGAGGACAGTCACGTCCCTGATGTGTAGAGGTTTAACTTTACTAAGTGACAGATGAATAGGAATTTACACTCTGATCCCTTTGCTGGTACATCCGTCCCGTGCGGTCCGCGTCCTCTCTTCCCCAGCAGCTCACCACCACTCCTGCTCCCACAGGTAACTCCCACAGCCCTCTGGGGTGCCAGCCCAACGCTTTTGGTGAACATGCTTGAAACAGGAGCTATAAATTGTCTTAGCTTGCAAAAAAACACCCCAAAATATAGATTTTTTTAAACATTCTTAAACCAGGTCATTTTCCAAAGTTAGCTTAGAGCAGAGCTAGTCAAACACAGAGGTGGTCACAGCTGGGTGGAGGGAGCTGTACATACAGCAGCATAGAGGAGGGCAGGAGGGCACCTTTTAAGCTAAATCTGCTTCCCAAGGAATTGTAATATGGAAATATAGCCAGAGTTAAGGCGGCCAGGTCGGTTTTAGCTTCGGGGATTTGTGTGGCTTGTAGGTATTTGCTATAACGTGGACATATTACCATGAGTCATTTCAGCATATAGAGCATACTGATATAGTTCAGTATCCATCCTTGACTTATTTTCTAGGCTGCAGGGTTGGAGAATGAAGGATGCTATTGCAAAGGCTTCAGGGAACTCGGTGAGGAGTGGGGATGAGGTTATACCATGCTGGCTCTGTCACAACCGAATGAATAGTCACAGCGCTACATTCTTGATTACGCCAGTGGCGCTAAATACAGTAATTAAGGAAGAAGTTTGTGTGAAAAGCTTTAGCTGTTGGCTTCATACATCATCAACCTTTTTTTGTGTTTTCTTTTGTTTCTTTTCTCTGCATGCACTGCAAGCTTTCTGTGTTTCTCCACCTGTGCTCCATAGGTCTCTGCCGTCTTGTAACTAAAGGGCCTAAGAAAGGTGAATGGAAAAAGCAAGCTACTGTGGTGAGAGGGGGCTTGGGGGAGCGGGGGGAGTTTTCACCACAGATTTGGACCGTTTCAGACCTGCAATATAACAGGTTTCTGTCCAGCTGGTCCTGCTTTGTGGGACCGCGTGACCTAATTATTTCTCTTCCAGCCTCATTTTTATGTGACCCTGCAGTCCTGGGTTTGCATGCTTTCCTCCCTGCAAATCCTAGCAAAGTTTTGTTGTCTCTTTTTTTATCTTATTCTCTCACCTTGTCTTTCTTCCCTTTTTCTTTCATCTAAGAAAAAAAAAAGGTTTAGCAAAACGGAAAAAAACCCCAAAGTCTGAAAAATGTTCCTTTGGGGTTTTCTGCTAAATATATCCTAGCATAGATTTGCCCCAGAAGGTTTCAACACGAAAAGCTTTCATTTTATACGTACATGTGCACATGCCCACAAAGAAACTTAATCCTTTCTAACACACCACACCAAAGTCATCAGCTAATCAATTTCAGCGGCACAGCCTGGTAAACCACCAGTCTCCAGCACAGACCCGAGCAAAAAGAAAAAGATTATGCATGACCTGTCTTGGATCAGGCTATGAAGAATGAAGCGGATCTGATTGATGCAACCTCCACATGAGCAGTGGTGAATATGTATTAGTTCAGCGCATTACCCTGTTCATGGTTTTGAGCTTCCCTTTGTCATTACTGCATGCTTGAAGGTGGTTTGAGATTAGAGCTTTCATTAGGCTCCTTGGAGATATTTACTAAAGTACACATGCAAATAGCTTTCTTTCCAACTTTTCAAGGTCACCTGCACAAGCCTTCACCTCACCTTTCCTAATCTGTTGCTGTCAGCTTTGTGTAGCAGTACTTTGGGCAGCGGGGAGGCATGACACCGCCTGGCTGGAGCCACACGTGCACGGGCGCAGCGGCCGGACCCTGCTTAGCAGCTCTGCCCAAAACCCAGAAACGCCCAGGGTGGTGGCACCTCGTGCCCTCTGCTGAACACACTGGTGCTGCCGCCCCTCACCTGGAGGCTGGCACCTTCCAGCCAAAACGGGTAGTCACAATGAAATCATGAGTGGTGCTGCAGGCATCAACCCACCATGCTCCCCTCCTCCTCTCACCCCCCACCAAAATCGCTTCTTGCTTTCAGCAAGTTTGCACTGGGGCTGCCGGCACGTGGCTGCGATGGAGCGCTGCACCTGCGGTCCCTTCCCGCTGACTCAGCTCACGTGTGGACATGGAAGGATGGTGGGATGGGGCTTCCTGGGCAGCCCGGAGCCAGCTGGCAGCATGTCCCCCAGCTCCCTGGGAGTCCCAGGGAAGGCATCGGGGTGCAGGTGCCCCGCACCAGGCAAAGGGGGCCCTTCCCCGGCAAAGCAGGCTGCTGGGGGAGAGGGAGCCAGCCTTGCTGCCCTCCCTGCACGTGCCCAAGCCCCCGAGCCCGGGCC